CTCCCCCTTCCCACTACACTATCGTAACAGGAACTGGCTATTTTTGCTCGAGCTGGTAGTGGATCAAGGCTCCAAGCTAACATAGCACAGTTCGTCATCAACATCCTCGCGGGCCACGGCACCCTCTCCCCCAATAGGTACATGACCTACCACGACATAAATGACGGCCTCGCGTCCCTTATCTTGGCCTGCGAAATGCCGTTCTTCGCCGTCCTCATGCTCTTCGCCTTCCCGTCAAAGCCGTACAAGCATAGCAACAAAGCTGCACCTGTGGGTCCGCTGAAGGCGATCGTGCAGGCGCTGGATATCAGGGACTTGCTGGGCGCGATTGTGAGGGGTCCGATGAGATTAGTCAGAGAGCAGGAGAGAGAGATCCGAAGGGAGGGAAGTATGAAGATGGAGCCTCAGGGTGGGAGGAGCGGAAGTGAGGGGCTGGATTTGGAAGAGGAGACGGGGTATAAGGGGGGTCATCCTAGTGAGAGGGTTGGGACGGCGGTTTGAAGGTGCAATGTGCTGTAGCTTTGCAATACAGCGCTTACATGCTTAAAGTGGTGTTTTTTTTTTCGTGTAGGTGTGCTGCGCCGGCTCTCTGAGTGTCTCCGCGTCGCGTGCTGCTGTCAACACTCGTCCTGGTGCACAGGCGTAGTTGACCATGTCAAACGTGTGACTACGATCGGGCTAACTGATTCCGGGTTCAGGTTTCTATTTTGCTGATAGCTTTACCGGCCGAATCGCCTCGGTCAAGTTCAGACTGATATATCGCGGGATGGGTCAGGCGCCGGTCGTATTATTGCTCGAGTGCGTGAAGGCAGACGCACTGCCCTGGCTGAACCGTTGCTTCCGCACCGTCTGCTTCTATGTTTCAGCCACTCACGCTCCTACCTTCTTATCCGTTTGCGCGCCTTGCTCAGTACCTGATTGATTGTAGTGTCTTCTCTTCGCCCACCACAGCTCCACTCACCGCATATACTTCTTATCTTTACATCGACCTGCTTCTATCTCAGCCTTTAGCGTCGCCCTCTCGCTTCTCCTTACGGTTAGTTTCTCGACCAATTACACGCCTCTACATCGGCTAATCTTGAAGAATGGCAACCTCTCGCATGCCACGTTGCTCATCGGAGATATGGGTCTACATGTTTACTTTCATGGACAAGATAAACCTTTGAATTACGTGTCGTCAGCTATCGCGAGAGCTGCGGGGGGAAGCCGAGCGCGATTTTGCCACAAGCCGTCTTCCACAACACTCCGTTGTATCGCATTTCAATCGCTGCGTGACGTCGGACCAGCACTACTTCACAAAAGATATCTTCATCGACAAATTTCTGGGCATCAATGCAGATGGTAAGCAGGCAATATACTCTATCAGGCTGGAAAGATACAGCATGCCTCTGCCGAGTTCCACAAAACAATACATACGTGAATAGCTACATCGAAAAGCCATGATAAGCCCGGATAATCACTTTCGGCGTCGACTACTTTGGAGGACTGACGGCCAGGAGACCAAGGTGAAAACCCTTTGTCTTGTCAGAGTTGGAAAGTACATCAGTAAAGCGCCACTACCCGCCCCTCAGATCAACCATAAAAACAAACAAGTATCTTTCGAATGGAAGGCCTTCTTGAGTTAACGTAACAACCACCCTTTGTGCGCCAAACAACAAGCTCATTAGCGTCAGTGCTTTCTGAAGTGTTGACCCGGTTAGGGACTTCTTATGATTGTAACCCCATAGAACCTGACGTAGCACTTCTGGTACCGAGAGCACCAAACCCAATACTTTCGTTGCTTTGGAATCTCTCTCCTCCGCTCTATAACTTTCCTCTTTTCTACTGGCCCCAAGTCTTCCGCTATGCCAACATAGCACTCACAAATGTGAACACTAGCGTCCCCAATCTTTCCAGCGGAGACTTGGATCATCATCTTACCATATGTCAACCAGATCCAACCGAATGTTCAGCAATTACTGTCCAGACCTAAGACACTTTTTCGTTCACGACTCACGCGGTCCAATCAATCGAGGCAATTCAATCTTGGCCCTTACTACAACGACGTCTCCGTCCCGGAAACGAAGTTTGACTACATTGCTAGAATAACGTTGTTTCACTGGAAGCCGTTTCTGAACCATCACTCTGGGATGTATGTGTTCGCTCAACACGTGCAGGACACCTGGTCACCCATGGTTGATACCGCCGAAGAACACTTCCTAAAGTACCATGCCGAAATGAAGACTGCCTCAGTATGGTCAGCTCGTCGCACCTGGATTTCACAGCACGGAGGGGAAATGGAGCAAGTGCAACTTGAGCAGAGTTATCTAACTCGCCTGGACCAAGCACACGTTCGCGTTGATGACGAGCTGAACCTTGGCGCGCATTATGACCACTCTAAAGTGCCGGTTTACAGCCGGGAAGCGATTACTGTTCAGATCGAAATGAACCGCAGCCTACGCAACACGGCTTTCTATGACTGCTTGTCAGAAAAACACAACATACGGAAGTAGGGAAAGGTTTTACTTCTGTGTAAAATGATACGGGCCGGCTAGTTGGTCCTCCGCTTGGCTGTAATGATGTGATATGTGTACTCTGAGATTGCCTACACCTAAGTGTTCGTACTCTGACCTGTGGATCAAGTCCTGATCACGCAGTGACAGTCACGACTTCATGAGCCCTTGCTCTATAGCAAGCTTTTGCCGGTACGTCTCGCAGACAGTACACCGCTCCAATGCCACCCCAGTGCTTGAGCAGGTCGTGCATGAAACCCGTGGGTCACTGACAATGCGTGAGTATGAGGCCCATGTCAATGCACTGTTCGACGTACGGGTTCCCACCACAGTCAATGCAGGTGGTGATCTTCAGTGCGTGAGGATGGTCCAGGTAACATGGAGGCGGTGTTGACAGTGCTGTTACTGCACTGTTATGGTAGTGGAAAGACATGATGAGGGTCGCTGAATTGTGTAGTGAGGATAGATGCTATAGGCAGTAATTTCTGTTATCCATATCGGATACTGAAAAAGAGCTGGACAGCGTAGTGTGCGCAATGGCATGGAAAGGCGATGTCTACCTTTTGTATCCTGGGAGTGATGATGATGACATTGATCAGTCCCAACGTCCCTTCCAAGGCTGCGACATGATGTTGTGTGCCTGGGTGATGTTCCCAAACAGAACTCGGCTCAATCCAACGAGGGTTCCATCAATCTTTGGTAGAAGAGCCAGCAATTGGTACACCGTAGGTAGGGTCGGGATGGAACATCCGTCACCGAGCTTCTAGTCATGGCGGTCTACCGGAAGAGATCCGTCGTAGATGATGATTCGAATCGTAGCACTGGATCTTGGCGCGCTAGGTCCATCTTTCGGGACCTGAGTAGGTCCAGGTAAGATCTGTACTGGTAGGGCGTTCTATCGGAGACCAATTGCAACTGTGACCGCGTATGCTGTCCCAACGTGGACTCGTTACACATTTGTTCAGTGACATGGGTCCGTCGACATCGGTACCCTGCAGCGAAGTGAAGTGAGGGACTTGTGGCAGCCGTTTGTGGATTCTCAAGAGCAAGGACGTGACAGTGAAGGGATGTCTATTACGGATGCGTGACTTGCTGCATGAGACGCACCCACTTCTGCAAGAGCTGGCATACTGTCACCCCATTTCGTCTTTGACATATCGCTCGCCAACTAAAGCAGAACGACACCAGATATCCCCTTCTGCAGGATTCTCGAACACACAGCTCGAGAGATGGATTACCAACGGAAAGGGATCATGTTCAGCGGTGGGCTGGCTTGTCTTCCGTGGACCAGGCATTGGTGCTAGATGAGCTACAGCGGCACTGTCTGAAAGTCCCCCCAATACTTTCAATAGGCTGCATTATTCTTCCTAGTTCCGTTGAGAGCTGATCTGGTCTCAAGGGTACGTCTCAAGCGTACTGATCGTTGCACGACTGCTGCTGTGGCACACTTGAGCACCGCAAAAGCGCTGCTGCAGGTTGGTATCGTAGGTACGACAATACTAGAAGAGTACTGACGACCGTCTTGCATACATACTAGAGCCGGTAGGTTGATACAATAAGCCTGCGGTCCGAATCCTCAAGACCGCGGTCCTAAGGGACTTCGAGGCGTCCGAGTACAGAACTCATGGCGCTAAGGGGTGACCAGTACTACCGTCTGCAGAAGCGGTCACTACGTCAACACCGGCTTTCATGGGTACGGTGTAAGCGCGTGACATGGGACTTGATCAGGTGCATGAGGAAAGCAGGCTCTACTGGGCCTGGAACGGTGAATGGACAGTCAATCTTGCGGCCGGTCGGTAATTGCCTTGACAGGCGGTGCATCCTTATGTTGCAGCGACCACAGTGTTCGGTGCGTCTTTGCAATCGTTTTGGAGATTCGTAATCAATCCCACGAAGTTCTCACGAATTCACTAAGGTGACCGACGTAGCACGGTTGGGCTGCGAGATCGTGAGCAGGAGTCAGAAGTGATGATTGATAGACGTTCTGCCAATGGCGAATCCTGTCGCTTTGCTGCTGTGTAAGAAATGCATGTAAAGGTTTGAGTACTGAAGACAATGACAATCCATCGCCAAGGGTGCCCTTCTGCGACGCCAAGGCACTAGTCCGCACTTGGGATTCACCAACCCGCCAGCAAGATGGTTATGAAGAAAGCATAGCGTTTCAGTTCCTAATAATCACCAATAGATACAAAGTAACTCAGAGCAGACAAGACAGAAGCTTGTTAGTCGAAGAATCAGAAATGGTTATTCAAAGCGCATCCACGCCTTCACAGTGCCCAGCGCCTCGTTCACCACAGCACACCTTCCACACCTCCTATGTGAAGCTGGAAAAGAGATTCTACTGTCTCTTGATTAAGGTTAGGCAAGAACCCTCATAGTTGTACCTGCTCTGACTTTGACATAGTCAAAAAAATCGCCGATCTCCAACTCCGCCTTTCCCACCACCACAACCACAACCACTACCACAACACTTCCCGAACACCAAAAGAGAATTCGGGGCAGCAAAAGTGACCTAACCAGGGGTCGAACCTGGAATCTCTTGATGCCGATTTCCAGTTTGAATGCTGATATCGTAGTCAAGCGCCTTGCCATTGGGCCATTAGGCCAGATGTTGATCTGTTTGTGGAAAAATTTGTATTTTCCTGATTTATATACTAAGCAATAACACCCTTGTCACTTCCATGGAAAGCTCAAATTCCTTTCTATCAAAATATCTCATTCAAACTTGTCATGGCAGAATTTTCTGCAAGCCGGTGGGTCGGCTGGAGCTCGGCGAAGCGGGGCAGTTTACCAACCCTACGTCCCAGGTGGTCGGAAAAGTCAGCTGCAACGGGAGAATCGTTGTAGCCTCTAGAAGTATAGTCAAGCTACGAGATACTTGCAGAGACCTGTCGACTGCCTCCCAAGATCCCAAAAATCTGTGAACTACAGCCGGCTTTCTCTGCCTGTCGAGAACCTAGACCCCTGATCATAGTTGCAGCTTACAGGAAGCCAACAGAGGCATTATTTACTAAAGAAGCGATCAAATCTATCCATCCGTTGTGGGTTAAAATCCTCGGATGTAGTCCGCGAGACGTCATCAAACTGCAAAATTGAGAACTTTGTAGCCTCCTGACGAGATGTCAGCTCGCGAACCAGCTTGAAATCGATGCTGAATGCTTCCTATTTACTAGATCTTAGTCGTTACGATCTGGAATACTGATAGCCGTTAGTACACGAGGGCCCACGAAGCAATTCCGACATAACATCATGTTATTCAGCATCACATGTCCGAGCCAGAGTTTCGTGTCGTGATCGTAATTCATTACATCCGAGCTATGCGGATACTATGCTACATTGTTTCCTAGCTCAGACGCTTATGTCTTCGAGCTAGGCTGAGACAGTGTGTTACCACCGTCAGGGTACAAGATCTGCTCGTTGTAGAAGACACCACCTGGGCCTGCCAGCATAAGAATCGAGGCAGCCATGTCAGAGTCCTTGCCGGGCCTGCCAGCAGGGTTGGACATACCACCCTCGATGACGCTCTTGTTGTCCTCGTCAGACGAACCAGTGGTCATCTCAGACGGGAAGACACCAGGAGCGATAACGTTGACGCGGACCTTGGTGCCGATGAATGTTGTCGCAAGCATCTTGGACAGGTGTGTTGCGGAGGCCTTGGAGCTGGCGTACGCGAACTGGCCAGAGCTGGAGCCCTTCATGGCGCCAGAAATGGACGTAACATTCACAACTGAGGAAGTATAACCAGGAGTCTTATTTCCGCCCTTGGCGAGAAGAGGCAAAAAGGTCATCGACATGTAGAAGATACTACCGACGTTGGTCTTGAAGGTGTCGGCCCAAGACTCTGGGGGCGACTTCAAGAAGTGGTCCGAGACAGACTGTGCGTCATCCCACTTGGGCTCGCCATTGCTGGAGAACTTGGTGTTGTCGTCGCGTGCGATACCAGCGTTATTGACAAGCAATTGGATGCCCTGAGGCTCCTTCTCGCTGATCTCCTTGTACAGGCGCTTGACATCCTCTGGGTCGCTGCTCAATGTTAGTCAAAGCCTAAGAGAGTTTAAACATAGCACATGCCTGACATCTGCCACAACGGGGATGATCTCGCCGTTCTGGTGGTCGTGCAGCTCTTCGGTCTTCTTCAGGACCTCCTCACGTCGACTAGTGATGTAGACCTTAGCACCGTTGGCGACCAGCGCCTGGGTGATCATAAGACCGATGCCGGTACCTCCACCGGTAACAATAGCTGTGACATGAGAGACATCGAACAGCTTGGCATTCTTGAGTTCATCGGTGTTTGCTTTGCCGGGTGCCATGTTGCTTGCAGATTGGTATGTTATTCTGGGTTGAAATTGGGAGCGTAGTACGTTTGAGGTTCGGGGAAGTGTTCGTGTGAAAAGGCGAAGCATATTGACTGATATGCGACGTGTATCGTATGTCTTATATGGGATGAGTTGATGTTGTTGACGTAGCAAGGGACGTTATTATCATGACGTCCACACGACGCATCGGTAAAGACGGGGCCATGACATCGATGCGGGACGACGGGAGATAGACCGCTTAAGCCTTCCGTGAACGCATCTCCACCCCTGGCTTGGTCAACGCTGTCGAACGATGAGATCTCGGTCGAGACAAAGAGAGGAACAGTTGTCCTCATTGTAGCTGGTCAACCAGGGCGCCTGACCATCGACCCAGGACGGAGTTGCCATCTAATCTGACAATAGAGCATCGCGACGACTATGGACATCTCGTGCCATCTTCATCTTAGCGGTTTCTATGTCCGCTTCAAAGCTCACGATCGAACGTAAAGACCCGTGTTCCTGTGCTCTGCGATCCCGAGAGGTTCGCCACCGTCTAATTGTGGCAAGCATCGGTGCTGTGATTGGCTGAGTAACATTGAATGGGTCTTGACTACGATTTTCGTGCATGTCTGCAGATGATGGACTGCAGGTGCAGAGTCAAGAAGGTCAGCAGCATTGATGAGTTGGATGACGAGTGCCAAGATCAGGTCTACCGAGCTTCTTCCGGAGGTGCGCGTCTCTTTCGCGTTTTCCATCTCCAACTCTCAGCCTGTACCTACGAAACTACCTCTGACAGCTCAATACGGCGCGAAAGGAAGAAGGAAGACTGTCAACCTTGGAATGATCACGCCATGTGCGTCTTTATCAGCTGGCGTTGCTGGCAAAGCAGAATGCATTACTAACCATACAACGGGAATAACCGATGGCATCATCGCCGCTTTCCCCCGCATTGAGCCAGCCTCGACGGGTGAATGGCTGACATTGTCGAATCAGCGACACAGCCTTCTTGAGCATTTCTAATCTTGACTTCACATAAGGCATATATAATACCTTCGGATGATGTCCTTGATCACCTGTACTCACATCAGATCTCATATTCACAATCACATTTAGGCATACATGACTATTAGCTGCCTTGCCACAATCAACAGTATTACATCTACACTTCCACCGTCTCTTGCACGCACCGATCTAGAAACGAGTACGACTGACTCGACAAACACCCACCCCGCCGACATGACGACCGCCGCATCGCGACCGATCCCAGCTCACCAGCTTTCAGGAGCGTCCACACCGACAATCTCTCAAGCGAAATCAGAGGATGTCAACTTTCAGGGTCTGCGCATCCCTCGCGGACCTGTCAATGCACGGTTGTCATTCTATAAGGCTCCTGAAGATGGGTCTCCACCACACAACTACGTCGAGCCACTCCCAGGTGTTCCTCAGCGAAACTGGGGTGATGGCTGGGAGGACGTAAGACTGGATGACTTGCGCGGCCAAGAGCATAAGTTCGATCTCGACCACAACGCGTTCGACACATACCAGAACATCAAGAGTGGAGAGACGGAATTCAGGGACGATGAGCGGATACGCAGCGTTTACTATCCCGAGGTTGAGAAGCTGTTGCTGGACAACGTTCCGGGCGCAAACAGAGTCATTCTGTTTGACCACACAATCCGGAGGCCAACTGGAAACCGCAATCCCGTTCAGCGAGTACATGTTGATCAGACGCCAATGTCTGCCGCCGAAAGAGTCAGGCTTCATGCGCCTGAGGATGCTGAGCAGTTGCTTCAGGGCCGCTACCGTATTGTCAACGTGTGGCGACCACTAAATGGACCAGTAATGGGCTTTTCTTTGGGTGTTGCCGATAGCCAAAGTGTGCAAGACGACGATCTCGTGCCCATCGAGCATAGATACCCCCACCGCAATGGGCAGACAGCAGCAGTCCGTTACAACTCTGGCCAGAAGTGGTACTACTGGTCTGGCATGAAGAACGAAGATCGGCTTTTACTAAAGTGCTTTGACAGCGACGAAACAGTTGGACAGTATGGGAGAGTACCGCATACTGCTTTTGTAGACCCCAGGACACCTGAGGAAGCTGTCGGGCGTGAGAGCATTGAGGTCAGAGCCTTGATTTTTGGCTAGAGCTTGCTGTAGATAGCACGAATTATGATTTACGACATTCAACATACTCAGTTGCGGTTACGACCCACGTTTTGTGCTTGATCGTTCCAGTGTGCAGGACCTTAGCCACGCCTCCTTCCAAGTCTATGACCTGTTCAGGAGAGTCTGGCCTTCATGTGCATTGACTAGGTAGTCGCAGCAACCGGCTATGCAACACAAGCGCGGATACACAAGATCGTCATCGGTGCATAGCCGAGCGCTTTTCACAGCTTGGCAACGCCTTCTTCCATGCTCCGTTCCAGAAACCCTGAGCGCGGACTTGCTGGGATCAGCTTCGAGCTTGCGATTCGCTTCTGCTTGCAGATAACCAGCTCGGACCTGCTGCTATCGTGAATGTTTTGCGCAGGCCAAGCACGCGGCGGTCTTGGAAGGTCGTCCCGATCAGGAAGGAGGTCGCCCATACCGACCAGAATCTTGTCAGTCGCACTTCATGTACAAGTAGGCTACGGGAAGAACGAAATACCCCTCAGCGTATATAAAGTCTGTGTGGTGGCACTCATCTGTGTTGTGCAGGCCTTACATTCTCACCTTTGTCAAACGTCATTATGAAGGTCTCCTCACTTCTTGGTTTGTTGCCTACTGCGGCTCTCGCACACAACCTACTGAGTGTTGCTTTCTTTGCAAAAGAGAGGACCCAATTGTTGGAGTTCGTTTCGGACAACAACCACATTGACTATGGCTGCCGTCCTGTTGTCATCCCCACCAAGGATGAGCACAAGCTCCACGCTATGCTCACTGAGGAGGAGCTCCATCACTACAGGAGGAATCTGGAGGCTGGTGTCATCCGTGTTGAGGCACTCGACCATCTGAACAAGCGCCAGGCTGCAACCGCCCCCATTGGAAAGGGTGACCGCTTCAAAGGGGGCAAGGTTGCTCCTCGCGGTCTTGGTAGCCAGAAGCCCGACGTTTATGGTTCCTACCAGAGTGCCGGTATCTTGAACGCGGATGAAGTCTACACGGCGTTGAAGGGTCTCGAGAAAGAGTACGGTCTTGAGCTGTTCAAGGCACCTTACACTACCTTCGAAGGCAACACAGTCTGGGGTGGTGTGGCGAACAAGGCGGAGAAAATCAAGAAGGACAAGCAGTACATATACTTCACTTCCGGTATCCACGCCCGCGAACGTGGT